AGGGAAACAGCATTTGGAACCAAAGGCAGCACTAGGAGCAAAACCACGAACAGGAATTAGAAAGTGCATGGGAGGGGAGGAGGTGAGTCACAGGGTGAGGGACTGGCTGGGTTCATCTTCAGCTTCTTAAATTTTGGAAGAAAGTAGATTTTCCCCTGCTTTATAGGTTGAATATCATGAAAGGGACAGGGAAGTGACATAGATGTGGCAGCTCCCTTCCTCAGGAGCTGGATGTCTGAGACAGACAAGTAGACAAAAAAAAAAGGTCAAGTAACCCAAATCAGTCTGCCACAAGTTCCCATTCACACTTTATTTCATTCATGAATACATGTTCCCAAGGCAGGAAGAGAGTGGAGGTCCCTGGAAAGCAAGTATGTTTTCAAATCCTGTTGTGGCTCTAGAGTCAGCCATTTTGTCTCCTCCCCATTGTTCCCCTTTTCCTAGTGATTTACACCCCCATCCAGAGGAGTAAATGCCAGAAGTGGTTGGTCAGGAGGCCTCCATGGTCTTCAGGGCTCCCTGAAGGTCACTGCCGAGGGAACCGGCCCGGGGGCCATCTTTACCAGACAGTGTTAGGAGCTTCACAATTAGACCATCCAACACTGTACTGGAAGATGGACCCAGAGCTGGCCGACATGCAGCTCCAGGCTAGAGCTGATCAGTTGCTACAGGGACCCTGGCCGCAGGCCCGTAAGGTCTCTTGAGAATACATCCTAAGTTCAAGGTCGGCTGTGAGTTCTGGATCCATCAGATGACAAATCACTCTCTGTTGGGGGAGGGGCTCAGAACCATTGTGTCCCTTCAGTGGGCAACCCGCCAACGAAGAGCCATTTCTTTTGCAGCACCCTCCACTCAAGATGAAGGAGATTCCAGGGTGTGAGGGGAGGTTTGGGAGGTGGGCAACAGACAGTAGAGGCTGGGGGCCTGAGATACGAGATGTCGCTGACGCGGACAGGGGCCTCCATCATTACCCGGCAGTATTAGAGACTCCCAACCAGCACCCAAACACTGCTGGGTAAGACGGGGGCCCCCACCCAGCCTGCCCACCTCCAGGTCAGGCAGTCCTAGTCCCAGGCTCCCTTGGAGAGGCTACAGAACCCTGGCTCCCATCCCCCCACCACCCACGTCCCTAGGGACACTTCCGGGTGAGTCCTGCAGCCCGCCACCAGCCCCACCCTATGTTGTTGATCCACTGAGGCCCAGGCAGAGCTCCAGCAGCCCCCTGCCCATCTGTTCTGTCTCCGAACCCCTTCTTTCACCACCCACACAGCTTGTCCCTGCCCCACATATCAATTCACTGGCTTTCATTCCCCCTCAGACCTCAGCTCAGCCCCAGGACCCCTCTCCCAGTGGCTTTTACCTGTCACCAGGCCGCTTACCCCTCAGAGAGAGTGCTGAGGAGAGAGAGGGGAGACAGGCCCAGGATTCAACGCCGGCCGCCTGAGGCCCTCCCTGGCCTCCACTCTTCCTCCTTCCTTCTCCACCAGCAGGCAGTGCAAGCTCCTCACCTGGGCCCCGCCCGCCGCCCCTGCGCACAGGTGTGTCCTCCAGCCATAGGCTACCCCCACCCTACTGCTTTAACCCCTTGCCTCCCAGCGCCAGCCGCAAGCACCTCCTCTGAGCCCTGGCCATCCCATTAGGCCTCCCACACTTTCCCAGAGGTGTCTCCTCTCCCACCTGCCAACTCTGCACCCCTAGACCTAGACTAGGGAGCCTGGTTGCCAGAGTGACAAAGGGAGGAGCTGTGTTTGCACCCCTTTGCCTTCCTCCTTGGCCTCTCCCCACAGCCATTCCTGCCCCAGCTACCTTCTTCCTCTGAGGCCTCTGACCCTGCCCATGGCCAGAGCTGGAGAGCCAGAGGTCCCCGAGGTCAGCAACAGGTCGAGTCACTAGGGTTGGGTTACGCCTAGGCCCAGTGCCTCTCCTGTGCTGGGCATCCCCGCCTGTGGAGGGCAGGCAGGTCCCAGCATGGCGCCTCCCTGTCCTCTGCCCTAGTGTTGGGGTGCCCGCCCCCTGCCAAGAGGCCCATGCTGGCCAAGAGCATCAGCACTGACTCAGACGATTCAAGTACTGAGCGGCTCTCCTTCAGCCCTCACAGCCTCAGCCCTGGCAGTTATCTTGCAGGGAGGAGCTTCTGTGGACTGTGCTCTGTTCTCCAGAGGGACCGAAAGTCAGCAGAACTGCTCCTGGACCCACCTCAATGCCTTGGGTCCAAGTCCCAGCCCATGTGCAGTTAGCCCACGGGCTGTTAGAGAGTGTGGGGCCTATCTTTCTTTTGTGCAGCTCTAGCAGGGATGTAATAGAAAGGGCGGGCGTTGCTGGAAAAGGGACCCTGGGGCCCACAGGTGATGGCTCCACCCACCCACACCCCCCCTCCAGGGTGTTAGCTCCAGGGAGCTATTATGTTGCCTGGGCAGAGCAAGCCCCACCCCCACCTCACCCCTCCCCGCCCCCTCTCTCCTTTGTTTTGTTTGCATCCTTTTTAATACCCGTCTGTACTTATTTTACATTTGTGGAGTGTTTCTGGGTCTGTCTCCTCTACCACTCTGCTGAGTTCTAAAATGACAGGAACTGTCTTCTTCACCATCATGCCCCCCAGCACAATTCCAGTGCCTGTGACACAGTGGACACTCAATTTAAAAAGTATTTGCTGAATGAATGACAGTTAAGCCAACATTGCAACAAGACTGTGCCCACTTCTTAGCCTGCCTCGCATGGAGGAGCCGGTCCTTCGCCATTAGGACTGCCACAGGCTTAACGCCCCAGGATTTAAGATAAAGCCTTAACATGAAGAAGGACTCTGCTGGCAGTCCACTTTGCACATGGGAGAAGGAAGAGGGGACACAAATAAAACTGACCAGGAGCATAAAGGTGGCAACAGCCCCAGCAAAGGGAGAAGGGTGCTCCTGTGAGCACCAGGAGCCCAGAGCGGGGAGAAGCCAGGGACATCCTGTGCTTCTTGGACTTATATCTTTTTAGCTCTTGGACCTAGAAGTCAGCACCTGATCGTGTCCCCCTCAGGTGACCCTAGCTGCATCTTCAGGGGTATGGGTTCTGGGGCCAGACAGCCTGAGTTAAAATCTTCACTGCTCAATAATCCTGTGACCTCGAGGAAATTATTGAATCGATCTGTGCCTCAGTTTCCCCTACTGCAAAATGGGAATGATACAGGTGCCCAGATTGAATTAATACACGTAGTCTTCCAAACAGTGCCTGATACATGGCAAGCAGGTAAGAGTCAGGGTTGCCCTCGCCAGCATCATCCCTTATTTCGATGATCTTCACAACCACCTTGTTAGGATCACCTTCCACTTTAAGGAAAGAGACTGAGGAACCGGGCCCACGGTCACACTCCTAGTGTGTTAAGCAGAGTCCAGAACCAGGTCTGTCAGGTTGTGAAGGTGGAACCTTCATGTGCACCCACGCAGCACTCCCTGCCCACCTCCCCCTCCACTCCCTCTGCACCTCCCTCCAGGCAGCACAGAGTTAGAGACCCACACACACAGTGATCCTAGGGGTTTTATTTACAAAAGAATTAGGGCTGGCCTGGGCTGGAGCCTTGCTGGGCTATATACAGGGTCAGGGAGAGGGAGGTGAGAACAGGACCATTTAAATTACAATAGAGTTGGGCAGGCAGCTCCTAGGTTCAGGCTGTGGGTGTTCACTGGAGGCCTCTACAGGGATCAGGGCTGAGGCTGCAGAGAAAAGGGAGTAAGGGAGTAAGCGGGTGGCCGGAACCTGGGAAGTGGGGGGCAAGAGTAGGTCTGGGACAGCTGGGAAGGGCAGGGTGAGGCTGCAGCCACCCATCCACCCAGGAGAAGCACTAGAAACCAAGGGACACTGGGAGCAGGGCAGGGAGAGCCCTGAGTAGAGGAGCTGTACCATGGCCACCTTGAGCCGGTGCCCACCTCACTTCCTCTTGAGGGAGCCCTTGCTCTTGTCCTTGTCCGCTGACCGCTGTTTCTTCACCTTCTCCTCCCTCTTGTTCTTACTGTGCAGGTTCTCGTACACATCCTCTTTGTGTCTGCAGGTGGGGTGGGCAAGTGTGGGCAGTTGGCACAGGTCAGGAGACAATGCAGTTACCTAGCACCAGCAGCCCCTCTGGGCCAGGAGAGCAAACTGAGGCCAGCAAAGGGAAGAGACGTGGTCACAACCTTTACACTAGACTGGAAGCTCCTTGGGAGCAGAGGATCCATCTCATGCTACCAATATACTACCAGTAACCTAGAACAGGCCCCACACAGAGGACATTCGGGAAGTACTTGTGAATACAGGTAGTAAGAACCAAGCTTGAACTTGAACTCAGGTCCTCCCAACAGCAACACTTGTCCTCTGGAGAAATGGAGGGTTGGGCAGGGGAGAGAAAGGGGTGGATGCTAGGAAGTGGCAGGTAGGGAGGGATCACTCACTTAGAGGACGTGCGGGAGGCCTGGGCATGGGCATTCTTCATAGCCGGAGGGTAGGTGATGTTCCCATACTCTGACTCTTGGCCCTTCTGGGACTGTGGGCAGAGATGCGGTGAGAGTGCTGTGGTCCCAGCAGGACCAGGTGATGCCCACTGCTCCCCCAGCCCCACCAGGCCCTGCTTGGCACGCACCTGCATGACCTCCAGCTTCTTCTTGGTGGTTTCAATAAACTGGGCAATGGCCACATAGATGAACTTGTACTGCGCCTCTGTCTGCACCATGCCCGAGCGTTGAGCCCGCACCATCTGGATCGTCTTCTGGATGTCAATGTCACAGTCCAGCCCTGAGCAGGGATGGCAGTTGGACCTCAGGCCCAAGCAAAGGTAGACGCCGAGGGGCTCCTCACCCACCCTCCCATCTGTATTCCCCACAGGAAACCCTCACCCTTAGTGGAGATGCTCTCCATGAGCATGTCAATGACAATGATGGTGCCTGTGCGGCCAATGCCCGCGCTGGGGAGAGAAGGGGGGTGCCATCAGAGGCCAGGTCAGCACATCCCCAGGAAAGGGGGCCCTAGCGCTCAGCCCCAGCATGGCCAGGGCATAAAGAAACAGAATCTCCCACAAGATGAGGCAATGTGCCCAGGGTCACAGGGCAGGCAGGCAGGCAAGGGGCAGAAGTTTGCCCAACTCTGCACCCATGCTTGTCGCCTCGGCCAAGAGATTTGTGGAGAAGGGCCTGACTCTGAAGCGCGAGATGCTGGCTCCCCCAGACACCAGTGTGGCGCCGTCACTCTCCTGCCCGCGCCACACTCCTCCACTTCCTGCCTCCACTTCTCATTTCTGGCCGGTGGCTGCTGCCCACCCCAGAACATCCAGGAACCCCAGACCCACTACCCTCCTGCCGGCCTCCCCTGGCCCTCTCCCTCATCCTTGGCCTGAGCAAGGCCTTCTCCCCTCCTTTAAAAGTTATAGTTGGAGCTTCTTTCTTCAAGGCTTCATTTCCCTTTTTCTTCAGACCCTGATGGCAGGGAAAGGACAGCACTGAGACAGTGGGTGCAGGGGACACTGGGGTCAGGAGACAAAGAGGAGCGGTGCTGCAGGAAGTCTCCCAACTTCCCCCACCCTCTGCCACCACCTTTGGGCAAACAGACCCCAAGAACCTCATGACCCCACAAGGACCCCAGGCCCACCCCCTCGCTGGGCCTGTCAGACTGGTGCCAAGTCGTGCTAATTTCAAACCCAGATTGTCAAAAATAACCCCCCCTTACCCACTTCCTTCCTGTAACGTCTAAATAAAGGCCATGGGGATTTCGAGAAGTGGATAAAAGTGTGGGGTGAAGGGGGGTGGCAGGAGGGTCGTTCCTGGTGACAGGCTTGCCCCTGGAGACAGAGCAGCCCCTGAGACAGCATGTGGGGGCATCTACAGATTCAGAGCACCCAGCCCTGGCCCAGGAAAAGCAGTTGCTGGTGGGAAGAAGGAAGTCAAGGTCTATACAGCTTGGGTCACATGGAGAGAGCGGGAAGAGAAGAGAACACTCTACTTCCCCACTCCCACTTCTTGAGGGTTTACTGTATTCCAGACACAGTGATAGGGTCTCCTTTACTCCTTACAACAGCTCTGTGAGATCCTGATTTTATAGATGAGGAATCTGAGAGTCAGAGAAGTAAAGTAATTTATCCAGGGTCACCCAGCCAGTGAGTGGATGAGTTGGAATTTAAACCAGCAGACTCTGTCCCAGACCCTGTGTCCACTGCCTTGCATCCACCCAGACCAGCCCGGGTGGGTCAGCCCATTTGCAGGACTCTGCCCTTAGGCCTGCTCCTCCTTGCTGACCCCCTGCCTCCCCAACTTAGCAGGAGTGGGGTCTCCTGATCATGACCATGAGGGTCCTCACTGGAGCTAGTGACACATGTGCCTCTCCTGAAGATATCACCCATCCCTACACATCCTGGGGCCAAGTTGGGGGACACTGGCTGGGAAATGGAGACTAGGAGCAGCAATGAAGAAACTCCCACCCCAGGGCTACAGATGGAAAAAGAGAAGGGATGGGAGCCACACTGACCCCACATGGAGGGTGTTGGGGCTGAGAAGAAACAGGCTGAGTGGGGGCCTGTGCCAGAAAACGGGGGTGGGAGGGTACCGGGACCTAGGGCTGTCGTGAGCAACAGTCCCAGCTCTCCCCTGACCAGCTGGTGATCCGGCAAGTAGCTGGGCTTGTTTCTTCATCTGTATTTGGCAGGGTTTGGACAAGAGATTATATCCAGAGAGGTCTCTGAGAAAGCCACCCCCAGGAACAGGATCAGACAGTGGGGCTGGTTCAAGCTAAGCTCCACCCATGGGTCTGGAGCCATCAGAGAACCCAGAAGACGCGGAGGGTAAGGGGGAGGCAGTAAACAAGTTAATATGTAAATTGCTTAGAGTAGTGCATATTACTTAGCAGTATTTACTTGTCAGCTGCTATTTTTATGATTACTGCTAATGCCTTAATTATTATTCTCACCTGCAATGCACGATGATGGGCCCAGGGTGAGGCAGACTTTCCTGACGCTGATTGATCTGGTCTAGGAAGCTGAGGACGCCCCCAGGTTCACTGGGGACCCCATGGTCAGGCCAGCTCAAGTACTGGTAGTGCCAGATCTCCCGTACTAGGTTGCCCTGAGCCAAGTACATAGAGTCAGTGCCCCCTGCTCCCACACATCGCCCCATTCCCCGCAACCAGACAAGAGAATAGATCCAAGGAGGGCCCAGAAGGGGAAAGGGGTGGAGGACACTCACATTGTCCAGTGGGGAGACCTGTAAGGTGCGGAGTTTGTACTCGGCTGTGTCATATTCCCCACAGTTGGTTACAGTGTAGGGTCCATACACGCGCTGAGTGCCCACCTCCGGCCAGTATGGGACACATTTGTTCTGAAAGGGAGGGTAGAGATAGAGGATGAGGCACAGAAGCAGGCATGGGGCAGGCTGCTCTAGGCCCTGTTCCAGGTCCTGAGTCCCTGGTGCTGGCCCAGTCAACATCTGTTGGATGAATGGATAAACAGGCCAAGAGTCAGTCTTAAGATCTACTGGCAAGACCTGACCAGCCACCTAACCTGACAAGTCATTCAATAAATATCAGCTGACACACACATTGTACCTGAAGTTGTGCAAACCAGGCTGGAGTTACAAACACAAATAAAACCCAGTTTACGTCTCTGTGTCTCTAGGAGCTCACAGAGACAGGAGAACAGGCGAACATGGAACTGCTCAGGACCACAGTGGAGGGAGCGGCTAATTCTCCCTCTGAGTTATGGAGGAAATCAGAGATGGCTTCATAAAGGAGAGAGCATATGAACTGGGTCTGTCAGGCAGAGATAGTGAAGAGAGAGGAAGTCATTTCCTAGCAGAAAATGAGCTTGTGCAAAAGCACAGAAACCTGAAAAAACCTGGACCGTTGGAGGCAATGAGTGTTGTAGAGAAACCGCCAGGCCTTGAGCACCAAGTCTTAGAACTGTGACTTTATCCTGAAGGCAACTGGAAGCCATTGGAGGGTTTGCAGCTTTGGAGGGGACTACTTCGACTCCAGCACAGAAGGTGCTACCATGTAGGGTTGAGGGTGAGGGGCTGACTCCAGAGAGATTTAGGAGGCAGAGGGGACAGGAAGGGTTCTTGCCTACATGGGACAGGTAACACCTCAAGCAGAAGGCCCATTTAAAACCTGGGTTTGGTGGTCAGGAGAACCCAGGGTTGGAAGCAGGGGATTGGGAGTCAGGGTGTATCCGAGACTTTGTCTTTGTGTCTCATTTTCCCAACAAGGATTGGACACTTGCCCTCCGAGGTGCCCATCTGCCCTGGCATTCGAAATTTCTTTGGTTTCATGATAGTGGACAGTGAGTGCTGGGGAAGGGGTGTGGGGATCGGGAGGTGGCATGAGGCTTGGCCCTACCCGGCCTTTCTCCACTTCTCGGGTGGTCATGACAATGACACGGGTGTTCTCCTGCCATGTCATCTGCCAGAAGTCGTTGACCGTGGCCTCCAGGCAGCCCTGGCTGGCGATGTAGGTCTTAGCATTCTCATCAGGGCCCAGCAGCTGGTTCTGGAAGCAAGTGCAGAGAGACACACACCAGGACTGTGAGGCCCTTGGCCCATGACACAGCCTTTGCCCCACCACCCTCGTCCGCCCAAGTCATTGGCTTCAGCTTTGCCCACGCATCTCTGGACCCAGTACCCGCCCTGAGATGGGGAATCCCCAGGGCCCAGCCTCTCCTCCCATGTGGCCGGCAGTCGACACCAACCGTGACGTAGTTGGCGTTGATGTAGTCGGACCCAGGGACGTTGCTGTCACGTCCCTGCAGGATCACTCGGCTGTGGTCGACTGAGAGAGAACAGCGAGAAAGCGAGAAGGGCCCGGGTCAGCAGG